CATTAATAGCATTATAGTTTATTATAGGCATTTGTGGTGGTTTTAACGCTTGTAAAATGCTTATAAAACGCCTCAAGACTGAGCACAGGGCGTTTGGGGAGCGTTTTTAATGCTTGTAAAACGCCAATACTAAAGCTCATTGATGCCTAACGCCCATACTAACGTTATAGGAGAGTTTTTGAAGAGTTAAAAATATAGTCAAGTGTGAACAAGACCTAAAAGGTCGTTCTTGAAGAATGGAAAAAGATAGAGGTTACAATATGTCACCAACTTGTTCATTGGCTGCCAGCACTGATCGGAAGTTAGTTTTCTAGCATGCCCACTCGACAGGCAGGTATACACAGGGCAAATGTCTGCTGGTTTCTATTGTAGTAATAACATTGTTCTACATAAAATGCACACATGTGGTACTAAGCCTCCACAGTAAAAAAAAAAAAAAAAAAAAAAAAAAAAAATCTAATTCCAATGAATAAAAGGGAAGGCCCAATAATAGTCAGGCTGGGGAGGAAAAGGGTTAGAGGATACTGGACGTCATCCAGCCAGGAAATGAAAAGGCTGACTTTTTGCAGCTTCTACTTACTGCACACTGTAAAAAGCTCAGTGTGCAATAAAATCAGTAAAGGCTGGTTCACTCCACAACCACGTTGATTGCACAATCGCTGATGTGTGCTGTGAGAACACAGCTAAATTGCCAATTCCAGTGCACTGCAAGGTTCATTTTTGTTACAAATATATTGAGTTGTAACAAAGGACATTTAAATTTAGTTCTTTTCACCCTAGCAATGTTGGGATGAGGTGGTTTGTGCCACAGCCTGCTGGCTAACAGTAGTGCATACTGTACTTTTTAATGCGTAGCAAGCCAATGCAATGGTGTGAACTGGACCATAGGAAACATGGCAAATTGCCTTGTCTTGGAATTGGAAAGTGCAATGAATAATGCTGGCCAACACATCTCAATGCAAATGGTATTAAAGGGGTCCTGAAGGCAAGCCTGGAGTTCAGCTTTAAAATGCAGTATCCTTTTAATATGGTTCTAGCTACCTTACAGTCCTGGCTAATGCTGCCCATGGTGTATCAGAATATGCCCATGCAGTCACGTCTCAGCAGCTGCACTTTATATGGGACACTACAGGCCTACAGAGCCAGGTCCTTGGATAGCAGGTTAAATCGCAACATTGCAGTAAAATAATCTCCCCATCACTATCAAATCTCAACAGACATTACAACATTCTGCAGCTGACCTCTAATATCCACCACAAAACAGACAGACAAAGCAACGTCAGAACACTCCAAAGCAAGCACACTGCACTGTGTCTACGCTAAATCAACACACTCACATCAGGGCCATCAAAGGCACAACACTGACCCCATGACAAGCCAAGGAGACGTCCCCTTCCCTAAACCTCCCCCCATACTGCAAGTGACACGGAGGAGAGCATGAAGGGGAATTTAATCAGGTAGAGCACCTAGAACGTCACTAGGCCAAATCCTCCACCAAGAACAATAACAGGAAGCTGGATCTGACAAAGAGCCCCTGATGGGGGTACAAAACCCACAGATTGGGGGGAACACAACCCCATATGACACATGGAAAAAAAAAAAAGAAAAAAAAAATATACAAAGGCAATATTTGATCTAGCTCACGTCAGTGCAACAGCGAACGTCTGCATAATCTCATTAATTCCACATACTGTTTACAGAAAGCCTTCAAAAGCCAAAAACCTTCAGATCCTACATGGACAAGATCTTTGTTTTCTCACGTGACAAATCAAAAAACCATAACCTTCTTGTAATGAATTGTAATTGAACCATCCCCCTTTATTTTACAAATTGTTAATATCTCCTGGATATTATGAATACTAACCCTAATGGCTCACAGTATGTAAGCAGATTGTCCAACATTAGCCCAATGTATGAGATGTTATAGAACACAAAAGACTACTGCATGTTAAGTGAAATCAGATCCAAAGAAATAAACAACAACTACCCCTTGTCCTAATCAGGATTGATCGTTATTTACTCCTAATCAATCAATATGTTTAACAACATGCACAGCTGGAGTATAAAACCAGCTATCAAATGGGAAAATACAAATATTCCAGGTTGCTGCTTTGTTAGGTTGAACTAGATGGACTTGTGTTTTCTTCCAATCTACCTACAAAGATTATTAATCTTAGAGTAGGCCATGCTGATTGTGACCTTATGTGTCACTTCCCCTTCCCCATTAGATTGCAAGTTCTTATAAGCAGCCCCTCCCCCCAAAACTCTTGTATTGAACTGTCCTGTCTCCCTTTAGGCCCTATTCACACCTGTGCACTATGGGAATGTGCGCAAAAAACGTTCCTTGAACAAGTGAAAAATGTGCGTCGTGCTTGTGGTGTCCTTAATTCTTCACGACACCCAAAAAGTGGCTAGGAATCGCATGTTTGTGCACTAAACATGCAAAGCTCTATGCCTCAAAAGGTTATGGAGCTTCTTGGAACGTTTGTCAAGTGAATGGACTGCTCTATGCAGGATGCATGGAAATGCGCAAAAACGCATGTTCACCCTACGCTGGGTATGAATGGGGCCTTATAGCCATGGCACCACCTGCTTGGAGTTTGCATGTTCTCCCTGTGCCTGCGTGGGTTTCCTCTGGGTACTCTGGTTTCCTCTCACACTCCAAAGACATGCTGGTAGGTTAATTGGCTCCTGTCTAAATTGTCCCTAGTATGTATATGTATGAATGTGAGTTAGGGACCTTAGATTGTACGCCCCTTGAGGGTTAGGGACTGATGTGAATGTACAATATATATGTAAAGCGCTGCGTAAATTGACAGTGCTATATAAGTACCTGAAATAAATAATAGTGTAACATGCTGTGCAAGCTGGTAGTCGAATACAAACCCTGCAGAACCACAACCCCAATGGCTTAGTATGTAAGCACACTGATGAACATTAGTTCAAATCTATGACATGGTATAGAACACAAGACTACACTTCATCTGACATTAGATGCAGAATGGAAAAAGCCCCCCAAAAAATAAACACACACAATGCATACCCCTCATCAGGACTGATCAATATTCAATGTAAACAATTCACTCCTAATTAATCAGGATAACATGGATGGCTGAAGAGTAATGCTGACCACACACACACACAATACAACCCGATCGTACAATCTCCTTTAGAGAGTTACCAAAACACTAAGGCTGCCCATACATTATACAATTTCTTTCCTTTAGATTCACCTGATCCATATAATATGAGGTCAAACCTAAACACTTTCAAGTTGTATCCAATAAGGCAGGCCCTTGCACTACATAAATCTACAGGAAAATTGTATAATGTATGGCCAGCTTAACAAGGAGGACAAATCTAATGAAATTTAGCAGGCCCTTGTACAATCTAATGGAGATGGACCATCAATTACATAGTACAATCAGATTGCACCATGTATGATCAGCCAACAGACTCACACAGACAGACATAGCCTGTTTTGTACATGAAAAGGTTCTAGAAGCAGCTGTGTAAAATGTGTGCCTAAAGCACATAATATCTAACCCTGAGTCCTGCTTTTTTTTGTGCGTGTGGCTAAACGCAGCACACATGTAAACGCAGCTGTCTGTATGGATCCATTATTACAGTGCGCTTCTAGATGCGTTCAGTTTTGTACGCATCTAAACGCAGCATTTTTTTTGTTTTTTACTGCCTGTATGAATGAGTTTTACACCGGCATACAGGAAAAGATGAGCGGTTAGTTGTTTTTATCTCCTATTGGCTGACCTGTGTGTTCTTTCACCCTCTGTAATAAGGCTGGAGTAGGCCATGAGAACTGTGAATGTTACCTTTTGTATCGCTGCCCCTTCCCTATTAGATTGTAAGCTCTTAGGACCAGCAGCCCTCTTGTACTGTAACAGTCAGCACTATACTAATCCTGTATAATAATACAGTGAGCCAAGGGGGCTGGGTGATTATAAATAAATGTATGTGCCCCCCCGGATCTGTGCTCCATCCAGCCGTGTCCCCCTGCACACAGGGTTCTAGTCCTATCCTATGACGATGTGTGTGGGGAATAGCGCCCACTGAGGCCTGTGTGTAGTAGTGCTCCTAGTAGGGCCCAGCCATGACCTCCTGTGACAACCCGGATCGGAGTGCAGGCCTGAGCCCGGCCATAGGGGGTGCTGTGAGCCGGCCCCTATTGTATAACGTCTATACAATGCCTACATGTGTTATGATGCCATATACTGGCCTTCCTGGCACAGACACGACTCGGCGTTATCACTACTACAGCACCGGGCCTGTGTGTGAGCAGGCCGCTGTCCTGAGGCCCTCCCCGGGTACCTCTGTCTCCGCCGCACTCCCCCCGGTGTCTCCGCTTCCTCTCCGGTTTTCCTTCTCACCGATCAGCTGAGGACGCGCGGCCCAGATCCCTCCGCGCACTACTTTACCGCTCCAGATCCTTCCGCTGCAGGGCTTACTTTATATACCCCATAACCGCGGCCTAGCCGGGATCCCTCCGCGGACTACTTTACGGGCAAAAAGGGGGAAACGCAGATTCACCGGGCCGTCTCGGGCGGCTGTGGCCTCTACGTGGAACGAGTCATAGGGCCTCTCACACTCTCTGGATGACGGCCTCAGCGACTCTGGCGTCCGTTGGCCGAGGGCAGTTGTCTTTTTATGTAATGCCTCTTTTATTGCCGTCGGTTTCTCTAACCACAGATTGTCGGGAAGAGTTGCCGGTCCCCACAGGACCCCTCGACCGGCCGAGCTCGGTTTATTTCCGCCAGGGTCACCGTGTCGCCCCCGGACGGTTATTACACGCTGTGCCGCTCTGTGAGCTCCCAGGACGAACTGTTAGGCGTCCAGTGCTTATTGTTCGGGGATGTATGTGAGGCGGAGGGATCTGTGGAGGATAGGCCCCGCCCCCTCAGCGCGCACGGATCCCTTAGGGAAGGGGTAATTCGCCTTGGTTACCCTAGCAACCGCGTGAGCGTCTCAAGATGGCGGCGCTGATGCCGGAGATCCTGTTCCAGTGCGACGGACAAGCTCCGGCACCGAGCAAGGACTTCTATCAGCTGCAGGTCACTCGCAGCGAGGTGGGTAGTGTTGTGTTACGGGGGGTGCGAGCAGGTTGCTGCAAAGGATTGGAGCGTGTTTTCGGACGGGGGGAGAGAGGGTGAGGAGCTCACCTAGTGCCAGTGTGCTGTGCGTGACTGAGCGAGGGCGGAGCCTAGGCTATCAGTGTACGGAATGGGGGCGGTCCTGAAGGAATCGGAGTGCGGAATAGGGACGGAACAAAACTGACAATGTACGGAATGGGGGCTGAACTATCAGATCAGCCTGCGGAGATTCTGGGCGGAGTCAAGGGTCTTAGTGCGCGGGGAGATGCGGCGGAGATAATGCTGGCAGTGTGCGGAATGGGGGCGGAGCTACGTGCAGTGTAGGAAATGGAGATGAAGTTAAGGGCGCAGCGTGCGGAAGAAGGCAGGGCTAAAGGTTGAAGCATACTGAATGGAGGCGGAGCTAGCCGCGGATGTTTCCTTAGTGGAGGCGGAGCTAAGGGTGGAAGTGTACGGAATAGGGGCGGAGCTGTAATATAACCAATAGATAAGAGGAAGATCTGTGCTGTATTACAGCAAAACAAAGTGTCTATGTTGTGTTTATCAGGAATTTGGATGGCCCTCTAATCATACACTGATTTCCTGCTATATACACATAAAATGGGGACCAATGGCTCCTTGAGATAGAGGGCTGGGCCATAACTCCTCCATGTTTACCATCTCTGTTCCCACATTACAGTTGTATGGTGTGTACAAAGCATTTCCCTGTCCTTTAATACCACCACTTAACCCTTTCACCGCCAAAATTGTAGGCCTGAAGATTACTTAAAGCGGAGCTCTAGTCCCCATGATCATTTTTTTTTTAAATTCGCTTGTGATTGTTATTACTTGTGCATTTCAATTGTTGGCACAGTATTCATGCTGGTTAGCTTAACATTTTAAAAAATGTACCCGATCTCAGAAGCAGGCAGGTGGCCATTTAGGATGTGGGCATCTGAAGCCCACTTGTGTCTTTTTCCGGGCTTCAGTGCAGCTGGCTACCCAGCATGCACCTCACGATCTCGAACCTGCGCAGTAATGACACTGCGCAGCGCATTTTGTTTAGTGTAGGTTGCCGTAGAAATGGCGGCAGCAGCAGAAGTACCCACCCTGTTCCTATGGCAACTTGTCAGTCACATTACATTATTAGGCTTCCCAAAGACGCCAATATCCCAGGAGTCAGTGGGAATCGCCTAATGACGTCATTGCTTAGGCGGCCGGGACAGGAAGTGCCGCCCAAAGAATTATAATAAAGGTATTTAGAAACAAATAAAAAAAAATAATTTCCATTTCACACTGTACATTGGAGGGGCATTGGAAATACTGGAAGTTTAAAAAAAAAGACTGGAACTCCACTTTAAAGTGTTACTAAACCCAGGACCCTGCATTCACTATATTTGGTCTCACACAGTACACAGAACATGTTAATGCAAATATTTTAGTAAATATAAACTGCTAAATACCTTTTCTCATCAGCAGTTAGAGCAGTCTTGTGACTTCTATCAGTGTCCAGCAGAGCACTGGTTAAAGCTTGTAGGAGGAGTTTTTTTTCTGCTCTAGGTGGATGCAGAACCCCTGACCTCTGTCTGGACAGTGCTGATTAGCCCTCTGCTGATCACATGCACTCTCCCAAGAAAGAAAAAACTTCTCTAGCAATACACACTAAACTGAGCATGTGCAGAATGGCTATGGTTCAGTCTGTCTTTTCAGGAGATAAGATGTGGACATTTGAAGAAGAGGATGAGCAGATAAGTCAGTATCAAGTATCCTTTTTACACAATGCAGAGGATTAACCCCTTAGGTTCCACAGTGAGTATAACAAGCATGCTTTACTGCATATACAGACTGATTTTACTGTTGTGGGTTTAGTAACACTTTAGAAACCCCCAAAATATATATTTTCTGAAAGCAGACACCCTAGAGAATAAATACTAGTAGTTTTAATTTTGTACGTTGTACGTAAGTAGGGAAAGCATCAGAACACAACGACATTGGTGCGATCAGATGCTTGTAAGGGCAGAGCACACGTCTGAGGTCTAATAGACCCCAGATCTCTCCATAAAGAGCACCTGTCACGGCCTCTTGCTGTCACAAGGGATGTTTACATTCCTTATGGAAGCAGTAAAAGTGAACAAAAAATAATTTAAAGGAATATTGTAAAAATAAAACAAAATGAGATTTCAAAAAAATTTAAAGCACCCCTGTCCCCCTGTGCTTGCGCACAAAGGCGAACGCATACATAGGTCGTGCACACATGTTAACAGAGTTTACTGTTCACAGCGATACCTCGTGTGGTGCATAGTGAGAGAAATCCTTTTAGCACTAGACCTCCTGTGTAACTGTACACACTGGTAACCTGTAAAGGCTTTTAAAGCGTCGCCTATGGAGATTTTTAGGTACTGTAGTTTGACACTGTTCCATGGGCATAGTTACATAGTTAGTCTGGCTAAAAAAAGACAAAAGTCCATACAGTTCAACCAAAAAAAAAAAAAGATAATCCTACACCCACAGTTGATCCAGAGAAATGCAAAAAAAAACAGCAATGCATGATTCAATTTGCTCCTGCAGGGGAAAAAATTCCTTCCTGATCCCCCAAGAGGCAATCAGATATTCCCTGGATCAACTTTACCTATAAATGTTAGTATCCAGTTATATTCTGTGTATCCAAGAAAGAATCTAGGCCTTTTTTAAAGAAATCCACTGAGCTGGCCAGAAACAACTCTTGAGGGAATCTATTCCACATTTTCACAGCTCTTACTGAGAAGAAACCTTTCCGTGTTTGGAGAAAATTTCTTTTCTTCCAGACGTAAAGAGTGCCACCTTGTCTTCTGTGATGACCTCAGGGTGAATAACTCTACACCGAGTTCACTATATGAACCACTGATGTATTTATAGATGTTGATCATGTCCCCCGCTTAAATCCTCTTCTCAAGAGAGAATAAATTCAGTTCCTCTAATCTTTCCTCATAGCTGAGCTCCTCCATGCCTCTTATCAGTTTAGTTGGCCTTCTCTGTACTTTCTCCAGTTCCCCAATGTTCTTTTTGTGAATTGGTGCCCAAAACTGAACTGCATATTCCAGATGAGGTCTTACTAATGATTTGTACAGGGGTAAAATGATATCTCTCTCTGGAGTCTATACCTCTTTTATTACAAGAGAGGATTTTGCTCACTTTAGAAACTGCAGTTTGGCATTGCATGCCATTATTACCCACTTCCAGTCCGACTCATGTATATAAACGGCCAGACGGGAGCAGTGCAGGTGCGGGTTGCTTTTCATAAACGGCGCCTGCATTTTCAGCTTGTGCGTACTCCCTGGGATATATATATGTAAATGCATTCCACAAATGTAGAGTTGTATTTTTAAAGACAAGTGTATTTGAAAAGTATTTTTAAAAATATTCTTCATATATTTTGTAATAACGCATTTCAACATGCAGTACACACACATATATATATATATATATATATATATATATATATATTGAATATGGCCAAAATGTTAGTATTTCAAATATATTTTTCTTTCATATGGATAGGCTTATAAATTTTTGCCCTTTAACTGTTCCTGCAATACAATTAGTCAAGTCAATTTCTGGGTAGTTAAAATCCCCCATTATTATCACTGTCCCAGTCCTTGCAGCCTTTTCGATCTGTGCAAGGAGCTGAGTCTCCACCTCCTCATTAACACTGGGAGGCCTATAACAAACTCCAATGATTACCTTTGTAGTACGCACCCCCATGTGCAGTTCCACCCATAATACTTCAGCCTCATCACACTCTCCATCAACTAGGTCCTCTTTCACACTCGCTCTGAGGTCCCTTCTCACATAGAGACAGATACCACCACCTTTCCTTTTTACCCTGTCTCTCTGAAAGAGAACATAGCCAGGAATATTAACAGCCCAGTCATGTGAAGAATGAAGCCAAGACTCAACAATACCAATTAAATCATAGTTCTCTTCTTGCAAAAAAGCTTCCCAGTCACCTATTTTGCTTGGCAGACTTCTGGCATTGGTGAACAAACACTTTAATACATTGACACCTTGTGCGCACATATTTTGCATATTTTTTATTTTCATGCAAGTGGTAATAATCAAATGGTTGATTGTAACATGGGAACATTCTTATCATCTGCCATAGCCCTCCCCCATCTTTCCCCATTCCACCCACCAATAAGGACTGACCGCTGTCTAATCTGTCTACCCCATTGTAATCTAATTCTCCCTCCCCCCTCGATCCTAGTTTAAATACTCCTCCAGCCTCCCCAAAATGCTCTCCCCCAGCACAACAGACCCCCTTCCATTTAGGTGCAGATCATCTCTAGCATATTGGTTGCACCCCAATGAGACGGCAACCCAGTGCTCTAGAAACGCAAAATCCTTCCCTCCTACACCAGGTCTTGAGCCATGCATTGAGTTCTCTGATCTCCCCGTCTTTGCTGACTTGCCCATAGCATAGGTATTATTTCAGAGAATATCACCGTGGAGGTCCTTCCCTTCAACTTGCAGCCTAGTTCTTTAAATTGATTCTTAAGGAGACTCCACCTTCCACGTATTCTGTCCTTGGTTCCAACATGGACCAAAACAGCTGGGTCATGCCCAGCCCCTCCCAGTAATTTATCAACCAAGTCCACCACATGCCGAACCCTGGCATCAGAGAGGCAACAAACCATTCGGTTGTGGCAATCCTGGCAACAAATTATTCTATCAGTCCTGATTATAGAATCCCCGACTACCACCAACTGTCTAGGCCTTCCTGCACTACCCTCACCACCCCTCCCAGATGGTCTGCCCTCCTGGCTGTTAGGGATAGCAGTGACATCCAGGGCTGCCACCCCTGAGCTTGCCACCCCCACATCTTCACCCAACTTGGCAAATCTGTTTGCATGCACAAACCCAGGACCCATCCTCCTACCTGATCATCCTGATTACCCCCTTCATATCAATCCCATTGGCTACCTTCTCAGGGAGCAGAAGACCCCTTTCAAGGTTGTCGG